GTGGCTTCCAATTATTTCTTTCATTTTGGAAATGTTTGGAGGTTATCTTTTCCTTGAAGGTTTAGAAAGCTTTACCTGTGAATAAATCCAACTCATTCTGGGGCTTTTTTGTTTTTATAAAAATAGATGGAGGCTGGATGCAGTGGCTCACACCTGTAATCCCAGAGCTTTGGGAGGCTGAGGTGGGTGGACCATCTGAGGTCAGGAGTTTGAGACTAGTCTAGCCTACATAATAAAACCCTGTCTCTACTAAAAATACAAAAAATTAGCTGAGTGTGGTGGCAGGCGCCTGCTACTAATCCCAGCTACTCGAGAGGCTGAGGCGGGAGAATCGCTTGAACCCTAGAGGCTGAGGTTGCAGTGAGCCGAGATGGCGCCATTGTACTCCAGCCTGGGCAACAAAACTGAAACTCCGTCTCAAAAAAAAAAGATAGAGACGTGGTACGACTAGTTGTCCAAGCTGGTCCTGAACTCCTGACCTCCAGCAATCTTCCTGCCTCGTTTTCCCAAAGTGTTAGGATTACAAGCAAGAACCATTATGCGTAGCCAGACTCTGGAGCTTTTGATGGGATCCTTCTGTGAAAATTCTTCTTCCCGAATTATTAGTCTGCTAAGATTTTCTACTTCCCAGTTTAGATTTTTTTTTTTTCCTTTTTTTGAAACAGTCTCGCTTTGTTGCCCAGGCTGAAGTGCAGTGGTGTGATCTTGGCTCACTGCAACCCCTATCTTCTCTGGGTTCAAGCAATTCTCCTGCCTCAGCCTCCTGAGTAGCTGGGATTACAGGCATGCAACCACCATGCCCGGCTAATTTTTGTATTTTCAGTAGAGATGGCGTTTCACCATGTTGGCCAGGATGGTCTCAAACTCCTGACTTCAAGTGATCCGCCCGCCTCGGCCTCCCAAAGTGCTGGGATTACAGACGTGAGCCACCGTGCCCGGCCTAGATTTTTCTTATTATACTATTCTTCTGGTTAATAGGACTTCACTGACGTGTTTGAACTTAAAAGTACTATCTATTTCTTTGAAAACATCAAATCCATTATTTCTTTCTGGTTTCCAAATTCATTGTTCTTGAAAATTATATTTAAAGATTACTCTATTTAAGGGTTACCTTAATTTTTAATTTTTCTTCTTTTGCTAAGAATCCACGCTTGATTTTTAAAATCAAAATAATCAGTTTTATGCTTTAAGTTTCCCCCCCTTCATTCTTCTATCCCCCAAAATGTTAGGCTGAACACTGCAGTAAAAAAGCAGAAGTGATAAAGGAAGGCTGAAGGTGACTGAGTGTGTTTGTGGATAATTTAATGTACCATGACTGGTCACATCGATAGAATCATGTGCAAGGTTACGCAAAGTCATAAAACTACCTCTTTACACTATAGTTACTTTAAGAAAATTAGGTGATATATTTTAATTCCTAGAAAAGCTGTTTGAGTCAATTGCTGTTCACAAAAACAGAATGTAATTATTGTACAAGAATTTAAGTTCACTGATGGGAAATGGAGGTTTTCTGGATCATCCATGATGGTGGAAGTCTCGAAGCACTGCTTATAATAAGTTCCTGTTATTAGAGAAAGGTAAATTTCTGGGACTTTCCCAAAAGCATCA